CCCAGTTAGCACCAAAGATTCTTGCCAAAAAACACGAGCAAAAGCAACACGGCACGTGGAACACCTGAAAACAAAAGGAGAATGTAATGAAACCGAATTTATCGATCGGAAGTCGCCGACTGCGCGCCAAGTACGCATCGTGCGCCAGAGCGCGTGTTGACGCTTTTCACTCTCTCCGCGCGGTCCGTAAACTATGAAAGCAGCCTTGGGTGTTGCTCACGGTCTGCAAACTCAACGGATCGGAAATGGTTGTATCAGCGAAAAGGGCTTGCTTGGGAATCGATAAGTGGTTTGTAGAACGACGCGTCGCTTCTGCGATCCACCGACTTCGGTGGGTAATTAACTGATCGACACTTATGTAAAGGAGGCTACGATAAAGAGGAGCGCATCGGGGAAGCATATGCACCACACGAAGCAGTTACTTGGCTGCCAGGAAGCGAGGTGTGGCGCTTTCACGACGAGGTGCGCTGGTTGCTGAGCAGGACTTCGAAAGCACTCCGCCCCAAAAGCGATCCGCCCACTAGTTTAGTTGGTGATTTGGACGAGCTGCGTTGCCAGCAGCGGCACAACTGGAGCAACTCGACTGCGGCATGGTTTGGCATGATGCCACAGAAGCTCATTGCAGTAAAGTCGTCCATATCTCCGTCCTAGCCGCTGCCCGTCCCTAAGCAAAGCGGCCAGTGGTCAAACAAGGAGGTCCCATTTTCGCGTTTTCATGACAGGTTTCTCACACCACTGGCGTACTGTTAGTGCCCCCCACGTCCCTTGTAAACCCCTATAAAACCTATTGTGACCGATGCCTTTGAGTCTTATCGCAGACAGTCCAGTGTTTGGCTTACGGATTTCACGTGCACCGTTCCTCGCGGTCGTCACGTACACAATTGTTTTCGCGAATTCACCAGGGTGCAATACAAGTAGGATGGACACGCCGTAATTTTTGAATACGGTATCGCGAAATGTATGTACCGGGAACTGCTGCCCGCTATATGATGGTGTCGAAGGAAAATTCGTGAGCCAGGGGGTCTGTAACCAATCTAGGGGGAGTGAGGGCAGTCACTTGACATGCAGAAAAGTGGGAATGTGTGAGCAACTACATAGCATCATAACAGTGGGCAGCAGACCCCACTTACCCTCGCCTTCAAATGACCAGAAATTGTGCAATTGCAGAAATTGACGTGGCATTGGCACTAAATTCTCGATGAAAAGGTGACATCACGTGTGCTCAAAGATGTTCTTGAATCGATGCCACGTTAATGCCACGTCAATTTCTGCAATTGCACAATTTCTGGTCATTTGAAGGCGAGGGTAGTCCACATCTCGAAGTCTGATTGGGCGTGTCACCGGAAATGACGTGGCAGCCACCGCACTTGATAGAAGTTGCGCGGATAAGCTGCTTCCAACACGCTTTGCTGATATCTGGCGACAGAGTATTTTATCGTATAATGTTC